TGGTAAGAATCTGGCAAAATACATATAAACCGAACGCTTAGTTGAAGCCAAGAATTGAAGCGAGAGGCGACCAAAAGCCAATGGAGGCCGGGAATGGCCGAAAGAATCCATGTGACCTGTTGCCGAGAGAATTACTGGCATTGAACCTTGACAGAATTCCCGGCGAATTCTTATGTTATTTTTACCAATTATTTTCTCTAGTTAAATAAATCTGATAAGCTGGCAAACACCATCGTACACACCCATAATAACATCAAATTTCTCATTTTTTGCTTCTTTTATCCATAAATTTTCATTATAGAATTTTGGTTTTCTACAATGTGTTATATATATTTCATCATCAGAAACATTTATATATTGTTTAGCTATATCTTGTACTTCATTTAATATATTCTCTTTAATAGCAATATGAAAATCTTTAATATCACATTGTATAAAATTAGAGTCTTTTTTATTTCTAATATTCTCAAACCAATTTATTGTTATTTTTGTGTTTTTCCATTGGTTTATGTTTAGTATACTTCTTAAATTTAAACATTTTTTCCAATTTATATTTTACTTTGAGTGAAATTTAATCGTCTTAATGTAGGTTTATTTATAGAATTATCTTTATGATCCTTTGATTTAATAAAAAGGTCTATTTTCGCTTAGTATTTAATTCTATTATTTAATTTTAGTTTAATTGCTATGTGTTTAGCTTATATTATTAATGTATATTTGTTATGGTCCGGTTCTTTGCACCACAGTGATAGTCCAAGGTAGAACCAATAAAGAAGAACTCGAATACGGATATGGAATAACACAGATATATTACAAACAGGAATATATACAGAGAAGTAGAAAGTGTTAGTACGAACAATCAGGTTTAGTAGTAATTGTCTGAACGCGACTCTGTTTTGGACTGCCTCTGACTCGACTGACTGACTCGCTCGCTCTGACTGACTGACTGACGGACGGACTTCTGACGGACCTCACTCCCGACTTCAGACTGAACTCTAGACTTCAGACGGAACTCCCTGCTTCCTCTTGAGGTGCAGTATTTATTACTGGAATAGTCCATTATGTTCTTATGGGTAAGGTCCCATAACAATATTAATGTCGCTTTCTGTTTCATTGCTTATTACTTTATAAAATTGTGTGATTTCCTTTTTAATTTTTGATATGTTTCCATTTTATAAATCTTTCTGGATTTTTCCGCTTGAATAAATATTTTTTTTTAATTATTGATAATTTTAGGTCTTTTTTAAAGTTTTATTTGAAAGCTATTGATTTCTTTTTTAAATTCTAAAATATTTATTTTATTCATTAATTTGATTTTGAATGCTATAAATTTGTCTTGTTTTGGTGGAATTTGCATGGTTTTGAATCCAAAATTATTTTCTATATAGTTTTTTTTGTCCTTATACTTTCTATCATAACTGTTTTATATTTTTTTTATTTTCTCAATCACTTTTGTAATTGAAAAGATTTAGTATAGGTATAAGTATATATATATTGCATATTTGGGCAGCACGTTTCATTAAAGATGACTGACAAAGTATTGTGGTTAAGTTTTTATTTAATTTTTCCAATGTTCATATAAGTGTTTTCTTTTCTGAAGTGTGCAAAAATTGTTCAAATGCTTTGCATATCTGAGCGATTTTTATCCTTTATTGGGGATGATTATTATTCTTAACTGAATGTATGGATTTTTATGTGTGTATCTTGAGTTATTCAGGTGCATTAACCACCTGTGTCTTAGTGGCATTATCGCCTTGTTTGTGGTGAAATGATGTTAAAAAAAAACTTTAAAATAATAAAATGTTGGTCAGGGAATTTAAACTGAAACTTTTATTTTATCTCTGATGAAATATTGTTCTCATTCGACTGTCCATTTCTAGATTATATATATATATATATATATATATATATATATATATATATATATATATATATATATATATTAACAGATAAAAATCTATCCCTTTCTTTAAAAAAAAATTAAGAATAAGCTAACTAACCGGTTTTGAACCTTGCTCAATAGAGTTAATAAATATGTACATATTATCAATAAAAGGGATGAAATATAAGGGGGTGGGGAAGATATATTAAATGAAAATCAATTGAAGGCCAAGAACAAAATCCTTCTGTTTACAGAGTGAAGGTTTCATTGATAAAATATATATGGCCTCCAATATCTTAAGGTGGTAATTTCAGTGAGACCTACGCAGGATTGAAAATGAGTCCACACTGAAATTAGCAGCACAATTCTATCCTGAGTTTTATTGATAATATATACATATTTATTGACCTCAATTTAGCTCTGTTGTGTGAGTTTTTAAACCAGTTAGCTATCTTGTTCTTCATTTTTTTCTTTTAATTATTATCATGAGTGATAGTATTAAAAACATAAATAAAATTTGTCTGCTTATGGCAATTATTAAGCTTTTTACCACCAATAAAATGTTCATATATATATATATATATATATATATATATATATATATATATATATATATATATATATTGTCTCTGGATCTCAATACTACTGCATAGATGGTATTATGAAAAAGATAATTTTTTTTTCTTACTCGTTTTTATTAGAGGGGAGGGACAGATGTGGCAGCTTGGATTCTAAGAGACAACAGAAGGAATGACTTCATAAGAATGGATGTTGGCTTACTATCCCTCCACATGTAGTCATAATTTGTCTTTTGAAATTTGGGTATGGGAAGCACATTGACTCCTCAAAATTCTTGCAGCCTTCTGTTGAATTTGTGCTATTTTGGACTTATATCCCAAAACCAGACAAAGGCAATATATCACTGTCAGAATACCACACCTACAATGTATTCTGACCAATTGCTGACCATCCTGGCCCTGGCCTTAGCATTTTGTAACATTAGCTAAGGCGTAGACTATATAAATGTCCAAGCAGTAAGGGTGGGAAGGCTCTCAGTATGCAAGATAAACAACTACCAATGGACTAATAAAATAGGAAGAAAAACAGACTTCATAAGTGTTACATACCATACCTATGAACACTAATGGGTATGTCCCAATCCTCATGCATACATTGGACACTATTGTAAGTGAGGGTAATATGTTGTCTAAGTAGTCCACCACCAGCAGTTGTTTATCTACTTCACGCTGCTGGTGAGTATTGTATTTTGTTGATGTTATAAAGATTACCATTTCATTTCCAACCTCCATTTTGGTTATTCCTCATTCAGTAACCCTTCCTAGGTTACAACAATAACAATCATCTTTTTTTTTCTGAATTTCTGAGTTGAGAATTTATCATTATTTACAATAATTATATTCAGACTATTTTATCACAACGTTTCTTATGCTGTGCTTTCTGGCCTTCCTCAGGTGTATATCAATCCCAAACTGAACCCTTTATTTAATCTCTGGGGGTAGACTGTTCTTATTCCACTGCTCATGTCTAGGGATGTCATTTAGTTCTTATTTTTTATTTAGCACTGTTCAGTTATTAATCAATCATTTCCACTGAGCACAAGCACACACTGCCTGTCCAAGGGATTGAACTCACAATCATTATGTGACAAAATTTTACCCACTAGGCCATTGTTCTTTATAGTAATGCTCAGTTATTGTTCACTCTGTTTCCACCGAGTTTAATTCTGCACTACCGGGCACAGGAATTGAACTCACAACTACTATTTGATCAAATTCACAAAGAAATGCTTTAATCCACTAGGCCATTAACTCATGATAATAACAATAAAGAAAAGGACAATAGTCCAAATGTAAATAATGTCAATAATGATAACTCCTCATTGCAGACATTAACATAGAAATTATCAGCAGATTTCCAGACTGCACTAATCTACTTGGGAACTTCCAGCATGTACCTCTTCTTGTATTTTGTCTTATCCCCAGATGGATTAATAAAGAAATCCTGTTATTGGTAAGCCACAATTATTGATAGTAAAAACAGTGGTTTAGTGAGCTGCTACAACCTTTGTCAAACTTGACAGTGTTTAGTCACTTATTTCAAATTAAAAGTAATAACCTGAAATTTTCTTTACACATTTTCATAAAATACATAACAATAAACCATCATTTCTGCATATGGAAGAAATTTATGAATTTTTAGAAAACAATTTCAAGAATATCTTAACCAGTTAACCCCCACCCAGCCAAATTCATTCATCTCCCTTGCACTATTCTAAAATGTTACATGAAACATGTGAGATTTGTTTTTCACAAATCTTAAATAGAAAACAATATAGATTATAAACTTTTTAAGAATAATGAATGTGATGAGAACAAAATAAAATCAAAGAATTCTTGAAGGAAATTGTTTATGGTTAGATGATCACATGATTAGATAAAGATCAGAAAATGTTAGTTTAAACTTTAAACTGTTTAATGTTTTCTTTTGGGTTGTTTGTTTTTATAATGAATTACAACAATTCTGACAATTTACAGAAAATATGTTAGAGAAATATATCTAGAATATAAAATCCATATTAAAAGAGAGAAAAAAAAACATCTTTATACATGTATGTTGAAAGAAAAAAAAGCACTTTTATACATACATGTTGAAAGAGAAAATTAAAAACATTTTCATTTATTTATGTTGAAAGAGAAAGGGGAGAAAAAAACCTTTCCACAAATGCATTCCTTCAGAATTATTTTGACAGGAATATTCCAAAGACAAAAATTTGAATCATCACAAAAAATATAACAAATGAAATTAGAAAGTCTTTTATCCATGGTGATAGATTTGATTTCAGGTGTTTGTTTGTTGGGTAATGCATTCGCTTCCACTGATCAAGTATGGCAGATCTTGCTCCTGCCCATTTTCCAGGGCCAGTCAAACGGAATTGATAGGGAGTACAAGGGCCAACAATGACATTCAGTCCAAGGTACGGATCTGATAAGAGCAGATGACCTAAAAAGGAAATCATTTAAAGACATTCATTACTGAAGGGAAAGTTTTGGAAATACTTTATATTTCTTTCATAAGAAACAAAGTAGAAAAATTCCTAATGTTTCAATGTGAAAGCAAGAGATCTCTCTATCTATCTATCTATCTATCTATGACAAGTCAGGCTATGAGAGAGTGTGGTACATATGTAGCCAATATAAGAATTTAATTTTGTTTACAGAGTTGTTAGTGTTGGATACACAATCTTCCAAAGGACATGTTTGTATGTGTGTGTAATTGTTTTTATAGTAAATATAACAAATTTTAGGGCTGACTGAGAACTCTTGCTTTGAGGTGGTAACCAGTTCAGGCCTTTCATTGTTAAGAGTACAGTGTTTGTTCTTAGTGCTTTCAAGGTGCCTTTATGTGAACCATCTTTATTTTGAGGCATCATCAAATATTGCTGGTTTTATGTAAGATGACCACAAAGTAGTTTGGGACTTGACCACTGTTTTGTTTGGGCTAATAATAAGACCGAAAAATTTGCAGCAATGGGAAAGTTTATCCATCAGAGCCTGCATTTCCTGTTCTGTTTTGGCAACCAAGTCAGTCATCAGCATATAGAGCTTGGAATATCTTAGATTTAGAAGAGAAGTGTTAAATGTTTAATGTGTTTTCCAGTTGTATGATATTGAACATTATTAGCCTGGTGACAGTCTTTAAAAGGCATGGAGAAGAACAACAGTAAAGAAAATGGAGAACAATGTAGCTGTTATAAGGTCACCTTGCCTGTCATCATTTTGTATCTTGTTGAGTTCTGTAACTAAAACACTAACATATCTCTTTGCATCCTGAAATGACTGGATAATATCGATAAAATGATAAGGACAGCCTAAGCAGCTCGAGATCTTCCATCTAAGTTCTATGTTTACAGTGTCAAAGGCCTTGGTAATATCTATGATGACTTCAAACACTCCTTGCAGCTGTTACTACCACTTCTCTTGAATTTATTATTATATATTATTCTAAAAATAAACATTATATAATCTAACGAAATCCCATAGCAACTTTATTAATGGTATACTTACACAATTTGGGTTTACATCCAATGAGTTCACACAACTCATCCTGATAACCTATCACATCAAAAATCCATGGGGTAGCAAGTGTTGCACTGATTACATCTTTTGAGGGTAACTTTATCAAACCCTGAAATAAAACCAAAACTTTATCAAACTCAAATGATGAAATTTGATACAACAATTATTTTCTCTTCTAATTTATTTTTGTTTTATTCCCTTTAAAATTTTGCATCAATAATCGAGCCATTTTGAATATCTCAATAATCCTTTGTTTGATCTTGATGAAACTTCGCAACCAATCATAGAGAAGGAGATTAAGATATCATTGTCTTAAATGGCTGGATACTTTCTGGGCTGATCTCCTATGCTTGATGAAAAAGAAATCAGATATAATTTTTTTTTATTCTCAGTTGATTATTTGAAGTAAATAACAATTCAGAAGACAATATGTTTTTCTAAGAATATTTCCATTCTCTTTTGCCTTCTTCTTTGCTTAGTTGATTGGTAGATGGACAAATAGAAATCTAAGAATGGCCAACTATTAATTGTGGCATGAATGTCTGAATATTTGACCTTTGACTTTATATTCAAAGAAGAGCACAATTTTTCCATCTCAACAGAATCACTAATGAATCTGAGGGTAGTAGGGAAACGCATAACATTTTGTAAACATTGTAAAGAATTATTTTTTGCTCTAGATGTAAGCTAGTTGTGTAAAACACATCATTTAATAGATATACTGGTAAACACCATCAGTGATGGTGTATGCTGTAGGTCAATGGAGGACCAAGGCTTTGCAGCAACCCACATATCTGAGTTGGCAGTGAGAAACTGTACATTGGCTTCTGTGAGCAGATGTGTTTAATCCCAGGTAAAAATCAGTGCTTATATTATAACTATCAAATCCTCCTCCCAACTACTTTGAAAATTAAAGTTACACACTCTTCCTTGCTCTACAACAGACAGAGCATTTATATACATGTTAAAGCTGCAATAGTTATGTGATATAAATATAATTTAAAGTAAAATCAGTTAAAAGTTTTAATTATCTCCCTTTGACATTATTTGATTATTTTCAACATTTGGATAATGTGTTTGAGTTTTTATTGTAGTTGACATATCAGAAAAGAAAATGGATAACAATGAACACTAAGTGATAATGACACAACAGTAACAACAAAAATGATTACCTTAAAAACCCGAGTAGCCAGGCGACACTGAATTTCACGCAATGGACCTGCTGCTCCAAAATTATGCAGATAGCCAATTACAGCAAAGTTTTTGTCAATCATTTCAAGAGGAAACATGTACTTATAAGCAAAAAGTCTACCATCTTTCAACTTCAGCATTGATTTCTCCAAGAATGGATAATCTATTTCATATCCAGTTGCAAATATTACAACGTCAATGTCAGTCGCAACTGTTCCATCTACAAAGAAAACATCATGGGAAGTAAATTTTTCCACATCCGGTTTAACAATTAATTTCCCACAAGAGATTTTGTCAATAATATTATCATTCAAAGCGATTGTTGAAAAAGATATATAAGAATTTGGATTCAGTCCAAAGAATTTATGATTTAAAGATAAAAAATTCTCAAACCAAAAATGCTGAAACCTTTTGGGTAAAAACTTTAAAATGAATCGCGTTATTCTTTTGAAGAGTTGGACATCATATGGTAAGCCATGAGGAGTCAATTTTTTGCAGATCCATTTCCCATTTATTGTGCTTAAATAAACCTAATAAAAGAAAAAAAATAGTCATTCAAAAACAAATATAAATGAACCAGAAAAACTATTGAAAATAATCATTAATAATAAATCTACTATTCCATAAGACCAATTCCCTGTGTATTTTCTGAGATAAATATGAAAGGTGTAGGGACAACTTTCCTGATCTCTCAACTTGGGAAATCAAATTATGTATGTATTTGATTCTCTGCAAATGGAGACTTTTGACCAATTCTTTTCAACTATTTTGTCATCCATAATTATACCTTTCACTTTCCAGTGTCATCTGGAAGTTGTTCAATGAAGCTTCCGAAAAAATAGGCTCTACGTATTTATCTGATCCACCTCAAATGAACACTTTTGGCAACTACTTTCCAACCATGTTTGTCATCCATAATTATTCCTATCTGTTTCCAGTATCACCTCTGAGTTGATGAATGAAAGTTCAGAAAAAATAGGCTTTACATATCTATCTAATCCCTCTCAAATGAACACTTTTAGCCATTATTTTCCAACCATGTTTGTCATCCATAATTATTCCTTTGTTTCCAGTATCATCTCTGGGTTGATCAATGAAAGTTCTGAAAGAAACAGGCTTTACATATCTATCTAATCCCTCTCAAAAGAACACTTTTGGTCACTACTTTCCAACCATTTTTGTCATCCATAATTATTCCTTTCTGTTTACAGTATCATCGCTGGGTTGTGAAATGAAAGTCCTGAAAAAATAGGCTCTACATATCTATCTGATCCACCTCAAATGAACACTTTTGGCAACTACTTTCCAACCATTTTTGTCATCCATAATTATTCCCTCCTAGTTCCAGAATCATCTCTGAGTTGATCAATGAACATTCTTGCTGGTCGACATCTTGATCTTTTACCATCATTTGAATCTCATTGTATCTGATTATACTTATTATTATAAATTTTTTATTTTGAAGTTTAGAAAAATATTATTGGAGCCTTAGATGTGGTCTTGAACAAATTATCAAAAAAGGGTGGACTGTTTTAAGTGAAGGAGAAACAAATCATTTCTAATGTTGATCTAAAGAACTGTACTTTCAAACTTTTTCTTTTTTGATAGTGCTTTCTATATCATTGTAATTCTTTTTTTATTGATATTCACCCAATATAAGGCCCAAGAGTCACTCAAATTAGAGGCTTACTCTTTAGTGTTGAATGAGCATAACAAAAGGCTATACAGGGAAGATAATGGTTAAACGTAGATTTGAACAGTTCAAGATTGGAAGAATTGGGAAAGCATCTTGTTTTACAAAACAATAGAGATATCCATGTCATTGCCATTCTCTCATCTATGTCTTTTTGGGACAAGTTCAACTATGATCTCAGATATAGATCCACTTGATTCAGATTGTTCATTGATGATCTCAGAAACAGATCCACTTGATTCAGATTGTTCAACTAAGATCTCAGGTACAGATCCACTTGATTTAGATTGTTCAATTATGATCTCAGAAAATCATCCACTTGATTTAGATTGTCATCTTTAAATGTTATGCAGTCTTATTCTGTTTGATTTAAAAGACATGCATGTTGTTTAAATTTCATTTATATGTAATCAACTTTGTGCTGCAGTGAGTTCTAATCAGCAAAGAAATAGTTGGACTTATTCAAGAGTCATGGATTCTGTAAAATCTGTGTCTATGATGGTGATTTCAGGCAACTGATTAACACTTACTTCTTTTAATGTAAACACAATACTTTTTTCATCTTCAGTAATCAAATCCTAAATTATTCAAAGACTGAAAAATATGATTACATATGTGAAGAAGAACAAAGAACTTATTGCTTAAAATTTAATAGAAACAGCATACAAATTGTAGTGTGAATAATTGTCAAAACATTTCATCTTGCAAGTTCCGATAAAAGTTAAGAATAAATATATATATAGCTTTGCATAATCAATAATCTTTACTTACCTGTTTAGCTTGTGTTGTCAGTTCTACTGCAATTTCACTTCCTGTATTTCCCATACCAATTACCAAAACTCTTTTGTCAGAAAAATCTGAAGCGTTTCGATATAGCTGTGAATGAAGAATTTGTCCAGAAAATGTTGCAATTCCTGAATATGTTGGCATTCTTGGTTTACTCAAAATTCCATTGCAGACCATTAAAGCATCAAAGATTTCTTCATGGATGACATTTGTCTTCAAATCTTCCACTTTCAAGTTCCATTTATTTTCTTTATAGTCACACTTTTGAACCTGATTAAAAATTAAAAAAAAAAAATAATGATAATGGCTAACTCGATTATCAAATATTTTATCTTCTTTTGTGGTTAAAAAGCAAACAAATGCCAGAATACAGCATGTGTTTACTGGCAATTCTTCCTATTCAAAGTCAAATTCTTTTCCATTTCTGAAGAATAGAGCACATAGCATAATTAGACATGAAATTGGACAAGAAAAATTTGCTTTCCTTAAAAACACTGAAACAAGGAATGCAATATTTATGCTCAGAATGATAGCAGAAAGAGTAATACAAATGCAGAAGGATCTATACCTATGTTTTATAGATTATGCAAAAGTGTTTGATATAGCACATCACAATGAACTGTTTGAACTGCCAGGTAAGTTTGATTTACCTAGAAAATTTGTGACTCAGAACATACTGAAGGCAAGAGTGACAGCGGAAAACAGTGAATAATGTACCCAATAAGCTTGTATAAATGTTTGACAGGATGGGGACTAGGAGAAAGAGCTACAAAGAACAGGCGGTTGTGGAGGGCAGTGATCGCCCATATCCTGAAGTGAGATATCACATAAAAGAATAAATCCACTTCACTGGATGAAGATAGAACCATTAAGTACTCCATAATATTTTCCATGTATAATTTGTGCTTCACCAGTTATACATACGATTTTGAAGTTTTCTTTCTCCTAGACAAGTTGGCAACCATGGCTAGACCGCTCAATCTGCTGTGCTATTTAATCCATAGCTGGGGAGGAGAAGAGATAGATTCATACCTTTCCTCAGAGTATTTTGGTGAAAGGTAATGTAACCAACTCAATCAAAATTATGCCATCTGCACATCCTATAAATTGCAAACTAAACTCATGTAAAAAAATATTTAAACAAAACAGTTGCACAGAATATTTTTAATTATAATATATCTTTTCCTAAATATTCCTTGTCAAATGATGTGTGTATGTTAAACATTGGCTTGTGTCATACAGCATGAAATATAGAATTTACTGTTTGAATTGGGATCTATCTTTTTGAGATAAGTAAATGTGATTTGGAGCAAATCATTTTGGGAGAAGTAAGTTCATTTCGGTAAAATTAAACTTACAACTATTTTTGGAAGAAGTAAATTTGACTTGAAAAAATATTTATGGAAGAAGATTTTTGATACTTGTTCAGTATGAGTCACATTTCAAACCTCTTTACAGTAAAGATGCATGCAAACATATACCAATATATATATCCAATATTTAAAAAGTCTGTCTCCAAATATAAACAATAACGAACCTACTGATGAGGAAGTTAAGAAAGCTATATAAAAAAAAACTAAGGAATAATATAGCATCACTTGACATTGAGGCTAAAAATTTTAAAATAGTTTACGTTCTCCATGAATTCAATAATAATACAGTCTGGAATCAGAAATGCCTCCCCCAAAAAGTGAGATTTATCACACGTTGATGCACTATGGAAACAAAACGGTAGCCCTGAACCCCCCCACCACCACACACCCACACACACACACACAGATATCTCAATTGGATCCATTATGATTAAAATACTAATGAATATTGTATTAACCAGGCTCTCATTGTTTTATGAAAGTCAACTCCTCACAACACAGCTTGGTTGTCATTTTAATCAGGGTGTAATGATTTATGTCATCAAACAACTCTAGGAATTAAATAATTGTATACCTTCCATGTTGACCTCACAGTAGCATATGACGACATGAATAAACTTCCTCTTCCCATCAATCAGACCTGCCTTCCAGCCTCATTCAACCGAAAGTCTAGATTTGATGAAGGAACTATAATTATACATGTTTGGCGAGGACCCCAACATTTCAAACCACATCAAGAATACGACAAAGAGGAAATGAGAAACCTGATATATTTTATATTTTCTGTGACTATGCCCTATACTGTAACACTGGTAGTATGAAATTAGAATTAAAACGGGTTTATGTGGAACCCCCGTATATAATTAGAGAATTGGACACTATTTACATTATTCGGACTATTGTCCTCATCTTTATCGCCATATTTATTACAACGTTTCGGCCGTTGTACGCTCCGGCTTTCTTTAGGTGGTTGGATTGTCGAACTGAACCCTTTATTTCGCTCACTGGGGTAGACTGTTCTAGTTCCACGTGCCATGTTTAATGCATGTCAGTTATCAGTTATCTCCTGTTAATTCCCCTCTCCAAGTTCTCCACTGCTTTAACCGGGTATTGAACTTACACTCTTTGGGTCTTGTCCCTGGATCTAACCAACGCCTTTATCCACTGTGCTATACAGACAGAGAATTGGAAGATTTAAAAACGTTAAAATCATTAAGGTGAAAACAAATTGAAATATGAAGCGAAGGAAAAAGAAGAGATTTTCTTTTCTATTCTTTCTGATAATGTCACCCTCAAGCCCCTCCCTGGTCGTCCAAGATGTCCAATAACCGCGGCTAATCGAATAGGTGATCACTTGGATCCAGGCTGTGCCTTGTCTCACGTTGTGATTT